AACCCTAAACCCTAGCCCTAAAGCCCGTAGCTCTCAACTCTATGTCCCTGAAGCGCAGCCGTTTTGGGCACCCAGCTCCCGAACGCACATGGGCAGTTCTCCGAACTAGGGTCCCTTTTTGGGTCACCCAAATGGCAGTTTCTGAACATTAGGGTACCTTATTTTGGGGTCCTTATAATAGGGATCCTACTATTTAAGGTGCTATATTAGGGTCCCCTATTTTCGGGAACACCCAAATAACGGCACCCCGTTTATAAGGGAGCCTAAGAGGAGCCCCAAATTTAGAGAAGTACGCTTATAGTAACCTTATACAAACCCTGTAGAGACCCTAAGTCCCTTTAAGGAGCCCGAAAAGGGACCCTAAATTTAGAGCACTGCCCACACGTCGTTTCAGCGCTGGCCTTGCCCAGATCTCCCTGGGACAATCGAAGAGCATTCCTGGCTGCGCCGGCGTCCTGGAAGAGTTTAAGGGCTTAGGGTATTTGCACTAATGCCCTGGTGTTTATCATTATTGTCATCATCCTCCTCATCATCACGAGCACCATTACCGTCATCATGATCACCATTAGCATCACAATCAACATCACCACCATCATCATCACCGCCATCATGGCCGTCGTCATCATCAACATCAACATCACCAAAAATCATCATCAACTTCGTCCTGAGCATCACTATCGGCCTCATGCTCTTTTAAGAGGTGTAGCAACATTAACATGCATCAACCAAATTGCTCTCGTAATGGTTCGCTGGCTCTAACTTGGACTGAGGGGCTGAGAGCCTGAATGCATGAGCACCTTTTTCCAAAAGTCGCTTAAGGTTCTAGGGTTTAGGGTTTAGGGGTTTAGGGTTTTAGGGTTAAGGGGCGAGATGCAGGATGCATGGCTTTGGAGTTCAGGGCTTGAGATCTTAGAAAGAACAAAGGGCACTCAAGATGGTGGCCACCCATAGGCCCCTAAGTAGTTCCTTTTTGGGGATTACCTTATAGGATTCCTAAGTATAAACCATAAAAAGGAACTCCTTAATTAGGGGCCTATGGGCCATAGCCTTAGAAAGCCTCGAACTCGACAGCCCTGGTTAAACGCGAACCAAACTTCAGCCAACCGTCTCTTTCCCCGAAAGACCCTAAACCCTAAACGCTAAACCTCAAAACCCTAGACCTCTAAACCATAAACCCTGAACCCTAAAACCTAAACCCTAAACCTCTAAACCTCTAAACCCTGAACCCCTAAACCTCTAAACCCTAAACCTCGGGCTCGGTCCCAGCGAAGAAAATCCAGGCCGGTCCTTCGTGATCTCCATCTCTTGCCTCGACAAAATGCCAGGTTTAGGGTTTAGAGGTTTAGGGGTTTAGGGGTTTAGGGCTTAGGGATGTTTAGGGTTTAGGATTTCCGGGCTTGGAATTTTAGGCTTCAGCGTCAGGGGCTTGGGAACTCAGGGCGTCGGGCTTAGCTCGACGAGTTTGGTTTGAGTCTCCCAGCCCAAGCTGCTAGTAACAATGAAACAACCAGATCAAAATTCCTTAGCCCAGAAATTCTACAGGAGCGATCCTCAGCCATGAACTCATTCAGTCCTAAGCCACGACTCTCCTCAAAACTTATATAAACCACAAGAGATTTTCGTAACAGTTGAAATCTACTGAAAAATCAAATTTGCAACGTCTCTGGCGGGGAATCCTGAGATCTCCGCTTTACTTACATGTGTTCAGGCTTTCCTTCGCGGCAAACTCTTGCTTACTTGTCCAGCATCCTAGGGAGCCAAAGGTTATAGCTTAGGGTTTAAGGCTTACAGGGTTTAGGGTGCAATCTTTGGGATAATATGGGGTGTAAGGTTTAGGGTTTAGACATATAGGGATATTCTGATACTCCAAATATTAAATACCTAATCTAGCTCGCCCACATTGCCAAGCGCAGATTGCACGCACCCTTGGCAAAGAGTTGCACCAATTTCCAAGATCTCGCCGTCCAGTCGGATGACAAAAGCCACGATTCCCTAAACCCTAAAAACCCTGAATCCTCCCTTCTCTTGTTAATGTCGGCCGTATTGAAACCCTAAACCCTAAACCCCCGAAGCTAGGGTCTTCCGCCGTCACGTGCAACTTGGCTTCGCCGAAGCCTCGTGACAGCGTGTCCGCGACCTCTTCCAGGAGAGCCGCAGAAGCGGCATGACGCCCGGCTCTGAGCTCCGGGCAGCGGGAACACGATATCCAAGTTACGGCGTTGCCGGGCCTTGGCCGTGGCTACATCACATACGATAGCGCCGCGAAGACCAGCGAAATAGCGCAGGCGCATTGTGACCCTGCACCCTAAACCCTATAAACCCTATAAACCCTATAAGCCCTATAAGCCCTATAAGCCCTCTAAACCCCAATTTTCGACCCGTCTGCCAAAGCAGGCGCAGTCTCATCCCCTGGGAGCCGCTGCTCCGAGGGGCTCCACGCTCCAAGTCGGAAGCAGCGGGGGGTTTAGGGTCAGGGCCCATAACCCCCCAAAACCCTAAACCCTAAACCCAAAACCCAAAACCCTAAACCCTAAAACCTCCAACCTCGAAGACCACAAAGAGACGGAGAGGCGTTAGGTTTGGTCGGGTGGTTTGGGACACGGCCGTGGTCCTCGGGTTGCAGAGCGACTCCCTGTAAACCCGTAGACGGTGAACCTAGGTTCTCTGGTATCATCAAAAGAAAATAAGGTTTAGGGCTGAGGGTTTAGGGTTCAGGGTTTAGGGTATCACCTTAAGTACATTAGGCTCAATAAGTGTGTGTTAGGGCATGTAATGATTTTCTACGACTTCCCGTATTTTCTGCAAAGTTCACCCGTATACTCTAAATAGATACCCATTCGCCGATCCCTAGAAGCCTTAAGCCCTACTCAAAGGTTCATGGGACTTAGTAAGTAAGGTTGCAAAACCCAAAAAAGGGAGTCTAAGAGGAAACGAGTACAAGTTGTTGGGACCACGAGTATGGGGTCCTTAGTAATTTGAATGGGGTTTTGGGGTATATCAAAATCTGATCAGAATCAGGAACCGGAAGGAATTATGCTGATTAGAAACTAAGCCCTAAGCTCTGAATTCTAAACCTTGAGGTAACCCTTACAGGAGTCCTTGAAGGAACTCTAAACGATAGCCTGTCCAAAACAAATATGTATACATATGTATATATATATGATTATTATTGTTCTTATTTTTATTCTAACTCTTTTTCTTTTTGTTTTTATTTGTAGTTAAAACATGGCAGACCGAGGCGCAGCTTGCTTGTCATATCATCTTCAGTCATCTGCCTGGGCATCGTGAGATCTCCGGGCCGCTTTTTTCTGCAATGTAGGGTACAGGTTCTAGGGGGCGTGGGGTGGCTGAGGAACCCAAGCCTGACCTAAGAAAGGGCCTCAGCAATTAGACCGGGGATATGGGGGTGGATTCTTCAAAATCAAGGCGGCAAGGAACCCTAAGGAATTGTTTTCTTCATTCTGACCCCTGTAGTGATCAACTGAATTCAGGGGCAGGTTTTTACAGGATTTTTTCGATTAAGTCGTATGACTTACATCATGACCAGATACCCCTATGTTGCTTACCATATACTCCTGAAGCCGGGGACATTGCACTCCTTCATAAGAGGCACAGCAGGATGCTTTAGTTCTGCCACAATGATCAATGCTAGGCTCCGCCTAAGTTACCAGAATTTACCATGAAATAGGGATCTATCGTGAGCGATGTGGTATCCGTACTTTTGTTACCTCCAACACGAGTAGTTTCTATCACACCAACCCTAAACCCTAAACCCTAACCGGACTC